AAAGCTTACACTAAAGCCCCACCTGCTTCTCCTGATCCCGTACCCTTCAAGGCCCTAAACTCCCCAACTCAAGATCTTACGCCCGGGTTTAGGGTTTAGGGTTTAGGGTTTTTTTAGGGTTTAGGGTTTTTTTAGGGTTTAGGGTTTAGGGTTTAGGGTTTAGGGTTTAGGGTTGAACATAACATACATCACATCCACTGCTTTTGCGCAAGAAGACGAGCATTAGTTCGATGCCCACACACTGAAGGCTCTATAGCCCCAAACCCTAAACCCCATAGTTTACAGCCCTGAGCCTTAATGTAGGGGCCTTAATAATTGGAACAGGGTTTTGGGGCCCATTATCCGTAATAAGGAACCCCCAAATCAGCATAGGTAATTATTTAGGCCCCCCTAAACCCTAAACCCTAAACCCTAAACCCTAAACCCTACAGCCCTGAGCCCTAAGCGGTCCTCCGCCACCGAGCTCCAGGCTCTCGGCAGGATCAAGCACCAGTTGGGGCGGGAGCCCGGCTTTTCCTGGGAACGAGGGCTTGAACTCATTTCGGGTTCTGGGAACTTTGGGTTTAGGGTTTAGGGTTTAGGGTTTAGGGTTTAGGGTTTAGGGTTTAGGGAACTTTGGGTTCAAGCTCGGAACCCTAAACCCTAAATCCTAAACCCTAAGCCCTAAACCCTAAACCGGGGCTCGGGGTTTTGTCTCTCGGACTTGGGGCTCTGTGGTTTTGGGGGGTTTCGGGCTGGACACTGGGATTGCCGAGAAGCTCTTACTGCTTGGGGTGACTGACACTCATCAAAGCCTCCGTGGACGATCAACCAATGCAGAACGACCTCCTCTGACGGCGGATCGGGTGTAGCCTTCCGCGTGCTAAGCAACCCCTATCATCCCCAAACCTACAGCCTTTCAAGCCCCCAAACCCTTTAAAGCCGATGACCCCCTTCAACTCTACACCTGAATACCCTGCTCAACCTCCGCAAAAACCCTAAACCCCTAGACCCCTAGCAAAGCTCAAGCCCAGCTGCCGCAGGCATCGTCGACGAAGTCGGCCAGCCGCTGCAGGGACTGCTCGGCCGGAGCAGCACCGAGCATGGCCTGCAAGGGGCTTTGGGGTCTGTGGGGCTTTCGGTTTTTGCCTTTTTGAGGACCTTTTGTCAGCCTTTGAATTGGGGCCTTCGGCTTAGAATTGAGGGTTCAGGGTTTTCGGGCTTTGACTCAAAGGGTTTACAGGGTGACATTTTTGCGCTTACAAGGGCTCTTGGCGTCAAGGCCTGAGAGAACTTGTGAAGCTTATAGAACTTGGCTTCGGAAAGTTTGCAGATGTCAGGCATCGGGTTTCCGGACTTCGGATCTGTTGTTCGCGGTTAAAGAAAGCCTCTATCGGCGAGGACATCGAAGGTTCTGGTACTGCAGCCAGAGTTCATGACCTTAGAAAATGCCTGCGGCTTCCGTCAACAGGAGAAATTCGCCCGAGGGTCCCTGCGAGGTTGCTCGGATTTGGGGTACGCAAGCCTCCCGAAGAGAGCTTGTGCGCTACCTTTTATTGGGGTCAAACCTCAAGCACCGAAACCTAGACCCTAAACCCTAAACCCTAAACCCTAAACCCTAAACCCTAAACCCTAAACAAAAGACAACCCCGAAGGTCGGAGGTCGCTTCGTTCTGCACAGTAGCCACGGAGCGAGGAAAAGTCTCTTTGAGCTGTCAAAGGTTTGGGGGTTGCAGGTTTAGGGTTTAGGGTTTAGGGATTTAGGGGTTTAGGGGTTTATGGGTTTAGGGGTTTAGGGGTTTAGGGTTTAGGTTCAACAAAAAGGCCGAGAAGTCTCACCAAGGGTGTACTTGTGCAACAGGGCTTTCAAGAATTCTAGGGCTAGTGACTATCGGGATTTCGCGGTCTGCGCTTTTAGCTTCCTCGCAGGGTTTCAGAAATTGAAAGATCAGGGTCTAAAGTTTAGGGACTAGGGAACTACGGTTGATGACATAAATCCTGCAGTACCCATAATAAGGAATGTACCATAATTCCCATAGTTTAGGGTCCTTGAGTCCTTAAGGTAATGCAGGATTTGTATCATCAACTGTAGGTAAAGCCGACGATTCCAAGGCGCTTCCAAGGACTTCGTTGAGCGCGCTGGGGGATGAGGGGCGTTCCAAACCCAAACCGACCAAACCCCGAACCTCGACACCCAGACGAATATAGCCTACTACAGGGGCGTTAATAATTAGAATAGGGTTTTGGGGCCCCTAATGCTATAGAACCCCCAGAATAGCAGAGATAGTTATTTAGGCCCCTACATTACACTCCCCAGATTGAAACTCCTAGACGACCCCAGCTGCTCGAAAGACCTCCGAAAGCAAAGCGATCGCCGACACGGCCGCGACCTCGCTGCCTCGGACATCAAGGCTCTTTTGTAGGATTTCGGGGTTTGGACTTGGGGGGTTGCGGTTCAAGGTTTGCGGTTCAGTACCGCCGGTTGGTATGACTCGGAACCCTTGAGAACTTACAGCAAGAGTCGTCCATGAATACGACAACAAGACAGTTTAACCATAACTCTCGCAATCATGACTAACACTGTCATCACCATGAAATATAGTAAGCAGAGACAGTTCTAAGATTCATAGCCGCATTCATTAACAACTATACAGCTTATACAGCCAGTCATAACATAGGCTACTGCAGAACAAATATACCCAACAGTATCAACAACAAGAACAATGGCCAGTGAGTAACAGTGCAAAACCTTCAACATAACCCTTTAAGACCCTTGACGAACCTGCATACAACCCTATAGAACCCCAAACCCTAAACCCTAAACCCTCAACCCTAAAACCTAAACCCTAAACCCTAAACCCTAAACCCTAAACCCTAACCTTAGGGAACCATGCCACCTTCCACGACCTCCTCGGCCCACGCGCGAAGTACCGGCGGCAGGAGCACTCCTAAGCTGCTGATGCAAACCCCGACACTCTTACTCCTTAGGGTTTAGGGTTTAGGATTTAGGGTTTAGGTACTTGGAGGTTCATGGGTAGCTATAAGTGGGGTTATAAGCCCCCTAATATGGGTTATAACTATATTTACCTTACTTATAACNNCATGAACCTCCAAGTAGGGCTTAGGCCTGGGCGTTAGAGTTTGTAGGGCCATTTGTAAGGGCTTCTTCAGTATATCCATTGGGCGCTTGGATCCTTTATGATCCTTCTCTAAGTTCGAAGGGGCTCTCGTAAAAAACGGCCCTCAAAGGGAGCCCTGACCTCTAGAGAGCTTGCCCCAACTTGGCCCTAAACCCTAAAACCTA